CATAGCTATTTCGCTAACGAATTGAACGATTTTGAGCATACGAAAATCAAATTTTCAAAGCTATGTCAACTTCACGATGGTATTTGCAGTCTAGCTCAAGAGTTAAGTGAACTATGGTGCTATCCAATGTTAATACTTATGGCCTATGGTTTCTCAACATCAACCGCTTTATTGTATTTTTATTACTGTGCAAGCGAAAGCCAGGTAAATAGTTTTTAAATTTAGAAATGGCTTAGTAACATATCATGTTAAAAAGAATTATTAAGCCTTGTTTGGCGTCACATGACTCCAAGCTGCTTCTATACTGTTATTTCGTTGAGCATAGACCATTGACTTGAATGTTATCTGGTCTTTGACTTTTTATCATCTCTTCTCGGCTGCTAACACGCATTTCACAGAGTGGTTGTCTGAGTTGGTTAAATAGAAAGATATCTTTTTCATAATCATCATTAAGTCTTTTACCTTCACAAGGAGCAAAGGGTGCTTAAGATTTTAGCTGTACTACCAGATTTAGCTGCATGAATTTGGTACCTCTGAAATGTATTGTCGTGTAACGTTAGCTCAGTAGGTATGTAGATGTAGAGCAATTTGTCTATATTGATTTCAGAGAGATTTAGAAGATGCTAGACTTGAAGTAATCCATTGTATTCCGAAAGTTAAACTTTTTTGTTGGTAAGCTTCCTGATAATGTGTAGGCGTCATCATTGACCATTAAAACTGACTCATGTGTTCTCACTCCTATTATTAGATTTCAATGTGCCCACGTAAGTTCACTGTATAACACAAGAACCAATGCAAGTGTTTTTGTCTAACACGTAAGCTGATACGATTATTCAGATGTGGTACAAAGAGCCAAAGTCAGTTAGGTTTCAGAGCCAGATGTCTTTACTTGCTGTGTGCAATACAAAGCACAACTTTTTTTGGCAAAGGAGTTCTGTTATCCACCCCGCCTTAGTATATATTATAAATTTTATCACTGTCCTTTGTACTAATATTCATTTGTGAAAGTTATATTTAAATGCAACCAAATATATATTATAATATATATTATATTATATTACAATATTTGTTTATAATACTAATACATTTATAAGAATAAAATATTTGAAATAAAAGTAAAATAAATTTATAAATTTAATAAAATATAAATTTAATTAAGGTAATAAAAATTTTTGTTGTTGTAGTTCACTACTGTTAGAAGCCTCTTTATTAAATAGATTCTATAGATTCTATTTAATAAAATACTCACTACTGTCATAAGTGGTGTTGAAATATGAATTTTTCCTCATACAATTTTGCAGCTAATACCAACCTTCTTTCGGGTTGCCAAAGATCCAGTGATCACAGTGATTTACTTGATTTATATTGCTGGAAAATGTGTGTCTATTATGTATCTAAGCTGGAAAACATCTCTGGAGTCCAAACGCACCGGCATATGCCTGCACAGATGTGCTGTGGTGGTGGACAAAAACGAAATGTATGAAATTGTAAGATATCAGATTTCTTTGTAATATTTAAATTCAGATCTAAAATTCAACATCTTTTAAAAAACATCTATTAAAGGTTAATCATTTGTCATTGAAGCTTTTGAACCATGCAGTCGACTTTTCTGCCTGTGGTTTTTTTACGCTGAATATGCGAACTCTATACGCAGTTTGTATTTTTTTTTTAATTAAAACTCAGTTAATGTAAAAGGCTTTTTACAGATAATCGGTGGTATAAGCAGTTATCTGGTAATACTCATTCAATTCAACATTGCTGGAGAGCAAATCAAGAAACCCTATATATCACCTGTGCCTAAGGAATTCTTTGGATTTGAAAACGTCACCTATCCAGCCGATTAAGTGCGATCACATTCCATATGAAATGTCCTACGATTGTTCTGATAACTCAGATATTATCAGATGTCAGTTTTCTGCAGTAAATTCATGTTAATGTTGTTTCATGGACTAAATGTTGTTTGCAACTTTTTTGAATAATAAAAAAAATGCACAAATCTTATTAAAATCATAAATTTTATTTCTTTGTTGCTACAAAATATAAATGTTTGAATAAAATTTAATAAAATAAAAATATGTTTTGCGTTTTAGATAAATTTGTGATGACCAAAAAATATGTACTAAAAATTATCATCGGCTGCTCCTAAAAGTATGCGCGAATAATATTTTGAAAAGATTTTTTTGGACGCGATACTGTGATTTATTAAAGTTGAATATTTGGACAAATTCGAACCTTAATTAGCCAAATTAGGTCGAAGCAGAATGCGAAAATAATGTTCCACTAATTGCTTTTCAAACCACCAAACATGGAGCAGTATTGTTTGTGCTCTCATGGTACTTTTTTGGAAGCAGGTAATGAATATTTAACAAATATAGTAAAGAGATACAGCTTCTTCTTCTGTCAGCCTCATCTCGCAGTAGAGCATAGGACCTTGACCATTCTCTTTTAGCGAACTCTATTACGCGACTCACGGCTGATGTTATTTCAGGAGTAATTTGCCGCTTCCATTTCTAAGTGTATTGATCTTTTCCATGTTCTTGCTGGTGTACCACGACACGTCGACCTATACCTTGAGGATTCCATCGAAGTCTTTGACTAGCGATGTTTTCGTTCCGCCTGCAGAGCATATACCCAATCGAATGCCATTTTCGTTTGCAGATTTCAACAGGCGCGGTGATCTGATTGGTAGTATATTAAGTATATTGTAATCGTATTGTTCATGAAGGCAACCGGCAACAAGAATTTTACTACAGCACTTCTTTTGAAAATAATATGATCTAAGTGAACATTGAGGTAAATATATACTCGGAAAGCAACATCCTAGCGGAATTCATTTACGGCTCTCTGGAAAGCTTACTGAGCTAGCATATGCAGATGATGATGGTTCTGCTAGCTAGCATCTATAATGACATGCAAACTAAACTTAACGCCTTAGCAAGTACAGAAAACAATATCAGGAAAACGAAATGTATGCGAATCAAAACAGATAATCAAATTGCACTTTATGTTGAGGATATACCGATCGAAGATGTTTTTGAATTTGAATACCTAGGTAGTAACATTGAAAACGGAATACGCAAAGCAAGAGCATCCTTCAGCAAACTTACTCGGATCTGGAGATGTCGCACTCTAAATCAAAGCACTAAAATTGCAATATTTAACGCTTGTGTTAAACCAGTACGGTTGTATGGTAGTGAAACATGGCACTTTACGCAAGCATCTATCCAAAAACTGTAAAGCTTCATCAACAGATGTCTTCGGCTAATTTTTCGGCAAGTTGATGTCGTCATTATCAGTAATTTTTCTCTGGGAAATACTCGTAGTACCTAGGCAGTACAATTTCAGTTTGATAAATGTTACCCGGACTCTGCGCCATTGGTTGTTTTATGAACCAATGCTTACAAAGTGGAAAGATGGTGTAAAAGAACTCCAGCATTGATAGAGAAACTTGGATTAGAATTCTCTCGTAAGGGCTTTTTCGTTTGGTTCTGAGTTCAGAATGATATATATTGCTGCAGACTTCTCGAGTTATTTGCGTTAGTGTGAACGTACTGTTGTCAAAATTTTTGAAGCTAAAATTAAAATCATTTTAATTAGATTTGAAAAGAAAATCATACGAGTTTGATTTGGAATTTCGAATTCCAACTAAAATCTTGAATGAAAAATTCTTAACAAAGTTGTCGTGTGCTTTTATGTAGCAAACTAAACCATTCCTCATTTTATTTATTTATTTTTTATTGTAGATGTTGTATCAAGTCGGAAAACTGTTAGAAAAAATAATATTTTGGATCTTAAGTCACATCAAATAGTTAAAGATGTTCAGAATCAGCGAAGAGGGCTTTGATAAAAAAGCCTTTTTGGAATATGCGAAGGCTAAGGAGGTGGAATACAACAAATTGCAGCATGCGTTGATAAAGACGCTTGCTATAAGAACCCGCACCCGAAAGCAGATTATTTTTGAGAAAAGGATCAAAGCTGAACTGAAGAAGTTGCGTGCGCAAATAAAAGAATTACGTGCTCAAATATGGGTTGCCAGTAACAAAGCTTATAAAAAGGAAGATGAGAAAAAGGTGGCAGAGATGAAATGCCATGCTTTCTGCTACGTTGAGTTGACTAAGGAGGTAAAGGAACTTAATACTACAGTACATAAGTTCGAAACTGAAATTGCTCGCGTTAAAGGTGAAATGCTTGAACTAAATAAAAAGATTGTACCCGATGAGCAGTTTCAGGTCACAATCGCCAAATATAAGAAGCTTCAAGAGACGTTGGAAAATAAGCTTGATACAAATATACGTCGTGAAGGTGCTGTTGCGGCCGATAATGCACGTTTGAGGGGAGAGATAATCCGATTGCTCCGTGACAAAACTTACTTCAACGAACAATACACAAAATTAGTGGAACGTCTAAATAGTAATAAGAAGTACCTGATTGATCTGGTTGATTATGCTCTCAACAGCTTCACTCAATGTATGACAATTTACGATAAAATGGACAGTTTAGTGATGCAACGAGATAAGGACTTTGCTGCACGTAAAGTGGAAATGCAAAATCTGTTACGCATAAAAGAAGGCAAGGATTTTAAAATGCAGTTCTTAACAGGTAAGGCTAAAGAGCGCATTTTGGCTGATCTTCAACCAAAGGAATATCGACGACGGGCGGCATTCCGTGCATTTCATCAAAAGGAAATTGCAGAATGCAAGGATATTCTGGCTAGAGCTATGAGACTGACTCAAACCTCAAATGTGGACCAGTTAATCACCAAATACCATCACGAGGAGGGGCTTTATTATTCTTATTTTAAATATGCCAATGAAATGAACTACCGAATGACTTCACTCAACAATTCTGTTAATCGACTATATGACAGCATTGGTAACTTGAAGAGCAAAAACTATGACAAAAGTCAGAACCAACTTGAGACAATTGAAGATCTCGAAAATGAACTGATGGCGAGACAAGAATCACTGGAAGGACTAAGACAACAACGCCGTGAAAATGACAAATTACTCAATACTGCAGCAGGTGAAATCGATTCGCTCTTCAGAATGTGTAACGCAAATGATTCGCCACTTAAGGAGTTACTTGGCGATCACACCAAGGTAAATCTTCAAAATATTCGCAGCTTTCTAAAAATATTCGAGAAACAGATTTACGACCTCGTCGCATACTCATACATTGCCGAACGTGAAGATAAGAAAACAAAAGAAAGATATTATGTGGTCCAATCTGTCTGGAAGTTTGATGATAAACCTACCGAAATTGATGACATTGTGTTGGCACAACAATGCGCCGAATGCGGTGAAGGAGAAGCATACAACGAAGATGCACCTGGTTATGTGCTTTCCTTGGAAGAAACCAAAGCTAAGCTGTACGAAGAGATTAGACAACCCGACTTGCAGTATCGTATGCACAGCATGAGTGCATGCCGTTTGCCAAGATCTCGTCTACTGGTTGCCAAAAGAGATGCTGAAAAGTGATGTCCTGAGTACATTTTGATTAACAATTGATGGTATAAGAAAATGAAAATTTCGTTCATATGTTTAATCAATTATATTTCGAAATTAAAAATAAAAGCAGAAGCCAGAGCAGAACAACATTTAACAGATTTATTAGCAAGTATAAAACTTTTAAATATTTGAGTTAGGAATTTATTTAAACTTTAATCATATATATGGTATCTCGAAATGAAAGAAAAGCACTGATCACGTTTTGTTATTATAAACAGGGACAATAGAATAGTACAACTTACGAGATCTAGTGTGATATTCCCGAAGTGAGTCGCATAACAGACAATTTATGGCTACGGATTACCTTAATAACGTAGCTCGGTTTGAGATTCCAAATTTAAGTCCGTATAAATAGGCGATCTGCAAATTTAACTATCCTGTAGTCTCATATACGAATGAAAAGCATTTCCAATTAAATAATCAGTGATTGATTGAAGTTTATGTTGATTTTGATTGGGAAACCTGTCAGTTTTGTTGTCGACCCGACTTGTTTGGATTTGCTTATGTCTTAGGATTAGGCACTAGTCCTCGACTGATGTTTTTAAATATTGATGCAGTCTGTTTTAGTTTATATTCCGCAAAATGATTTCGGTCCTATGAAGTAAATTATATACCACTTTTCATAAAGCTCTGTTAGCTGTTTTGCTATCATTAAAAATATTCATACCTTTACGGCCCCATAAGATTCAGATATGGTTATGGTTTTTGTAGCCACTGACCAATTTGGATTTGATAATTCAGGATTAATGGATTCTTCTCATATTTCTTAATTTTTTATTATCGATTTAACTTTTTTTCGACAATTGTGATCATATGACTAATTTCTGTTAATTTTTTAAGATTTATTTTTGGGCACATTAACCGTTATATGTTTGCAGTAATGATGGAATCGTGATGCAATACTCTGTAAGAGTTGGCAGAGGTTTTTTAAATATTTTTGATTTTGATTAGATACTAAAAGTAATAAACATTTTCACTTTAAGTAATTTTTAAAGGAAAAGAGCTTCTCACTTTATGTTCTTACATTTTTGAGTTCAAGTTTATTCTTCCATTTATTCTTCCATTCAACCATTTAATATATAATATAACTTATCAAATACTTACAAATTGATATATTTCCACTGTTACTGTTTTTTCGCTGCTTTACTACTACATTTCTCCCAGGAATCCTTAATATATAAAACAAACAATTGCAGTACCCATTCCGCTATAATATGATAATTAAATAAATCTTTGGTCCTTAGCGATGAACAATCTGTCAAAGTTTCAAAGAACTACTTCTGTAAAAACCTGTTTCTTCTGTAGGCCAGAGCTGGGCACTCACAGATAACACGACTAATTTTCTTTTTTCTCTAGGTTTCCACAACTTCCAAAATGAGTATTAAAAGGAATGTAGCTTTCTAAACATTAGTAACCAGAGAACTGCTGTAAGCCTTCCAGCACTCACGCAGTCCCTTCTAACTAGATCCTAAACTCTAGTCATGTTTTATGAGAGCCATGTTACACGAAAAGTTACACATGACTTAATTGTCTTCCATGTATTTTTTTTGAATTCAATTCTGCTAAAATTTGTCAAAAATATTCTTAAATATTTAAAGGCACTCGCATTTGGTTTCAATATTATTAATAACAAATAAAAATATGTGGTTCAAAACATGATAAATTGTTCCTTTGGTTTTTTTTCGAACGAAAGCTGAGAGCCTCCAATAACAATTTATGATGGTTTGACAAACAAAACCGTGAATGGTAAATGACATTACACCAACGGAAAAAATACGTAATAAATAATCTCATTTCTTCACTAAAGTACCCAAAGCACCCAAAGCAGCCAAAGCAGCCACTACGGCAAGAGCTAAAATGACTACAGCAATGGGACAAGATAACTTATAATGATCGGCGGTAGCAATGGCAAACTGTGTGAAGGACAAAGGAAGCATACCGACGAACAAACCAACGCAAATGAATACCAAGAGCACGACATGGAAATCCACCACGGAAGACACTTGCAAATGGAAACAAGGACTTTTCAAAAGAATGCTTCTTATTATTATCGCTGATGATGATTGTTGTTGCTGAAGTTGTTGCTGAAGTTGTTGCTGTTGTGTGGAAGAGCCACATTAATTTTGCTGTCATTGTAAATCAGTTGAATACACATACACTCACGGAAAGCGGCAACAATAGCAGGTAGGAGGCGGGAGCATGGTTTATAGCTAAGCAAACAGTTCAAAAATGGTTTAAAATCCAACAAAAGCTCACTTAAATATGAATGCCTGAACGGCGCACCTCTTGTTGTTGTGGCTTTGGTTTGGTTTACAAATTAAAGCGGGAACTTCTCAAAGAACTAAAGAGGTATGCCATGTCGGCTTAACCAATTGTGCTGTAAAGGTAAGAATTGACAAATATCACTGTTAAGTTGTATTTGCTTGTTGCAGAGGCACTGGTTAAATTGGAAACGAACTCAAAAATTAAATTAAAGATGACAACATTGGGGAGTTGGGGTCGAGTGGGTTGGAAATGTAAGTATCACTGTGGTTGTGCGTGGCGGTGAGGGTATCGCTCCATTGCAACATTTGTACTAAGTGTCGGTTAAGCTGCAAACAGGATTTTCGTGAACGCTTGAGTACCTGTAAAAGTGGCGGTTTTCGAAAGTTCTTTAGCTCGATTACTTTATGGTTATTTTGCTGTCTTTACGCATATTTTAACAGGCTGAAGTCTCTTCTAGCTGAAATGCTTAAAATTAAGCTACGAAATGAAGTGCGTTTCAGGTTCTATTCAAATTTAATTCCAAATGGCGGCATCAGAAAAAAGTATGCCTGAAGCAACAATTCAGGCAACAGCAACAGTTTAAGCACAAGCAAAATTACACAGTCTACATAAATTTCTTCTCACAGCGATATCCTTTAAGGACATCATCGCGCGTCAACCTTGAAAGCAGAAAATGTTTTCTGTTTTTTTTCTTATTCGCAGCTGACGCATTATTGTGAAAACATATTTTTTATATTTATTGCTTGCACCCACGTAATATGCCCGACGACTTTCCATTCTATTTCTATTTTTCTGAATAACAGAAAATCTAAAAATTTCCCACAAGTCTATTGGTAGCCTCAGCGTAGTCGGTATGTCCCTCGAACTCAAGGCTACACTTTGCAACCGCTTTGCCTGTCTAAACGCCAAAGCAACTGCCTATAGCAGTTGTTGGCATTGTAATGCACACACATACTCAATGCATTGGTCATGATTCAACTTCATCCATATAAGCGCCTCGAAGTAGGACGATAGCCCTACACTGCCACTGGCGTAGTAACCCTTTTGTTGGAGTGTTGTCTGTAATTCGTTTGAAACTTGTCTTGGGAAGAAACTGCAGAATTTGGAAAGCGTTGTCGTTTTTATTGGTACTAATATTTATGCGTTTTTCCTGCGGGCTTATCCAGCAAAGGTTGGCGCACACTAAAAAGGATTCCATGAATTTGCTTAACAATTTGGTTTTCATCCTTTTTCTCCTTGCTGTGCTATTCCACGCTTGCAGGAACGCATAAAAGCGGACACCTTTACATTATCATAATAATAATTGTACATTATGTGGAAATATGATTTATGGCAGCAGAGCCGAAGCGGAGCATAGCAGGCGTGTAAGCGCCGTTGTCTATACCACACGGAAGCGGAAGTGGAATATCAGTTAAGAGGGGGAAAATAAAATATCCTAATTTCATTTTGTAAGAAATTTCCCCAAGGATGTTAAATTTGTGTAAAATAAAATGTAATATTTTTAAATAACATTCAAGGTAAATTTTTTTCCTTACGGTCTGTTTTTTATTCTTGCCAGAAGAACTGATAATAAAATGCATAACTTTCGCAAAAAATTTTATAATTTTTTCAGCTTAAATTTATGAGCTTGAATTCTCTTTCAAACTAAAATATGGTATGTTAAAACGATTTTAAATAATATTATTGTATTTAATATTTAATAGTCTCAAATATTGGTATCCTAAAACAGTTTTCAATTGATTGAATTGAATTGAATATTGGTTAAGTTATCAGGTATTGCACTAATAAGTTATTAAGGAAAAGTGTTTTGTTGGGTTATCAAAAACAAGCTTTAAAGGAATAGTCACTTATGACACTCAAAGGATTATACTTAGGTGGTAAGATGTTTATAGGATGTTTCATCGTATTTCTCATGTAAAGTATTACGTATGTCAATATATTCAGGCTAAACCTAAATCTAGGAAACGAGTGGTTTCCTAAAACACTCCGTACTTCAATGTATATAGTACTTGAAGCTGAAGTTAAGCCTTCACTTCTCATATATTGCTCTCTGACTATTCTTAATTTAATGATGTGTCTATTCCAAAAAATGTCCAATTAGTCCAATACAATACAATAATATCAACTTTGGTCACAAAATAATAAATAGAAAATATAGAAAATATACAGATCGCAGATTTCTCTTAGTCAGTTAAAACTTTCATGATGCGGGACTGAAGTCATATTGGAAACTTTTGCAATAATGAAAAATTATCACCTCTGTTGCAATTTAAATCGTATAACAACTATATTAATATATAATGGTCTTCACATAATCTATGTTATGCTAGACCGTTACTTATTGCAGTTGAATTGATGTCACTTAAATTAGTTTTAGAGTTGGATTGTAGGCACATTTGGACATTTTGTTTCTTTAGAGATAAATTATGTCAATCTCTGAAATATGATTAATATTCTATATTCATCAAATAAAAACCAACTTTATGTCGTCCATTGTTATCCGCTGGGTATTATTTATTCCTTAATGTGCTGTAAGCAGTGACTTCGCAGTAAAAATTAATTATTCGTCTTGAAACTGTCTTCCCTTTCTGTCCTTTTCGTTTCGAGATTATATTGAGTAGATTGATTTTAGAAATGAAGTTTTAAGTTTATTTTTAATCCACTAAAAACGCATTCCGGTATAGTTTGTTTTAAGAATAAAATAAATATCAGTTTGGACAGTACACCACACACAGTTTTTCTATAAAAAAAACTTGCAGGGTCAAAACACTTCATCACTGGTTTGTGTTGCCATAACTCTCAAGTAGTAAGAACGGACAAAGTA